GTTGCGGATTGCTCCAAGAGGACACTCCGTTGTGTTGATTCAAGAATTAAAAATTCGAAAGACTTTCACGAGCTCGCTTATTGTTAGTCAACCATCGAGAATCCCGCTGTCGTGGGAGGTGCTATACTTAAACCTGCTATCTGCTATAATCGGCACGCACGGTAAAACACATAACCCGAAATGGCCGCGGTAAAGGACGCATAAGATATAGCAGTCGGCCGTCAAGTGTCCGTCAGAACTTGGGCGAAACACGTGGCTTAATTTACGTTGCATTATTCGGCGCGCAAGATTCGTTCTGTAACTCCGCGGCCGGAGGGTGTGCATGTGCGACTGACGCTCTAATTTCTGGTTAATTTTGCGGAGAAATCGATGACGGCCGACGGCTCGGATGGTTTAAGACTGGGCCAATTTATCGCGAGCCTCCGTTGCATAACCATCGCGTGCCGCGACGCCGCTGGATACGCGACCCATAAAGGGAAACGTAAAACATTCGCAATTTTTTTGCCGCAAGGTACGATACAAATGACGTTTACGAGGTGTTTGCGATAAATGTGTTTCGTGAGCAGAGGAGGAACCTTTTCAAAACGTTTTCTCCTCCCTGCTAACGAGAGTATCGGAGACGTCGATGGTTTCTGAGTCGCGATCAGGAGAGAGGAAATTAAATTTCGCAGTATTAAAATTTTCAAGTCGAATTTCGCATAGATACCACAACGTACGAAAGCCTGAACAATTGGACGACGATTGTCTCGGTCGAAAAATTTACAAGAATTATATAATATCGTCTCGGGACGAGAATTCAATTTTCTGGCGCGCAAACGCGAGGCACCAACGCGGACTCGCACGTTGCAAGTTTCTCGATAGCTAAGCCTACAGCTCGTCATTTATTGCCTGCTGTTGTATGCACGGCCCAAGGGTTCGTATTTTCATGATAATGTACGTAACATATACGGCGACGGTCACTGTCGACGTCGCGGACGTCGTTTCCTTCCGCACCGCGCTATCTACGTCGGCGGCGACGACGACGTCGACGACGACGAAAAGGTTTGTCCTGATTAGATAGTGAAGCGTGCATCCAACGCCACCAGGTTTCTAGGAAAGAGCGAACTATATTGATGGGATTGACGCGCCACGTCAGCAATCGTTGATCGAATCGATCCTCCGAGGATTGGGATGGTCGAGAGGCCGCGAAGGCGTAAAACTGAACGAACGAAAATTTAGAAAGTGTGCATAATAGGGGAGCGATTAAATGGATTATCGCAGATTTTTATAGAATAAATTTTCAAAGTTGAATGTCAAGGGTCCGAGAGGGAAGCCAATACCGCGTTATCGTATGTGGCTGATTGTCCAAAGTAGAAAAGGTCGACTGCAGTCAAATGGCCTGCGTTTCACTCGGGTCAATGTTAAATCGACCATAGACGTCGATTTTCCGATGCAGGAGCGACTCGACAATCATTTTTCTATTTAAAATAACGTCTACATTTCAAGCTTCTTTCCTCAACCCCCCCCCTCTCTCAGTCTCAGCCCCCCTCACTCAGTCTTAGTCTCAGTCTCGGTCTCAGCCCCCCCTATCTTAGTCTTAGTCTCGGTCTCTCTTCCAGTCTCAGTCTCTCTCTCAGCTTCAGTCCCCCCCCTCTCTCTCTCTCTCTCTCTCTCTCGTTCAAGCTGTACGCTATCCGTGCAATAAACACAGTCGGAATGAAAGGGTTAAGCCAGCGTGATGAATTCCACCTCGTTAACAGTCGCGACCATCGACCGTCGGCGTATAAATTGCAAAGTGCACACTCCTCGCTCTCTAATTACGAGGTCGGGGGGAGCGGCTCTCTAACGAGCTCGCGAGCGACGTCGTGATCGCTTCCATAAAGTCAACCCCGACTCCATTCCGCGGAGAATCGAAATTGCGCGGAGCGGCGCGCGTTCGCGTGCTAGGATCAACCACCTATCTGTCCCGGTGTCTAGTACCGTGTCGTGGGAGCCACGAGGGAAAGTGCATGCCCTTGTACTATCTATCTCTCTCTGTCTCTCCCTCCCTCGTCCCGTACGGCGCCCAGAAACTTTATTTAACCCTCGGATTGCATGACCTACCCCACCGTACGTGGGCACAGCGCAAGTCATCGTGATCCACTTACACATTTTAATTATTCACGCTTATCCTCCCGAGACCCGGAGGGTCTGTACTTTTAGCGCAATGGGTGGGGCAGAACTCGCTGGTTTTCGGCCGAGGTGTCGGCAGGAATTGCGGATATTGCGCTTGAACGGGGCGTTGCTGAATTAATGCGCTAAGTAATATCCGCTAATCTTTTTTCTTAACGGTTTTTACTTATCTTGGCGCACGCTTGCGGAACGTAACGCCGATAAACACAAATGTGCACTTCGCGTGCCCCACGTTATGCTCCCGTTACCGCGCCGTCGATCTGTCTCCGCTCCACCGTCTCATGCCCGATGCAGATTATCACGAAGGCGTATCGCCGTACGTTTATCCGGGTATTTTTCATTTTCGGTAGCGTCCCCGCGAGAAAGTACACCGGAAAGAAGTTCCATCGACGTTGCCCTCGCGGAAGATGAGTTCACCTGTGCTTCGACGGCGAAAAATTACTCCGCGAGTCTCGATGCACCGAGACGGCGGGCTCTCGGGAATATGAAGTAACGACCGAGAAGCTGGAGCGAGGTGTTTGAGGTTACTGAAAAATTGAACACGCACGGAGAAGAGGACGAGAGCATAAGCTTCCCGCCGGCTTACGCGAGATGCGTAGTTTCTTACCCCGTGTTTTGTCGAGGCCCCGCCCGAATAACTTTCGCGCGCGAGTAATACCGTGTCGCTTCTGGGGACATTATTCCGGGGCGACCGTATAAACTTTTCTTCCCTTCCTCACATATATTAGACGCCGGCTGCCTGCTTCTTATTCCGCGTTCACGCGAAATGCACGTAGACGTATCGAGTACTTAGGGTGATAAACGCAACTTGTCGCATTCACTTTGCAACGCTTCACTTTCTTCGTCTCGTTATTAAACATAAACATTCGAGGCGGGTAATATGGAGAAGAGGGAGAAGATTTTTTCAGTTAAAGCACAGGTTGGGCATTGGATACTCTTATCCTTTTTCAGCGATATTAATCGTCCTTACAATTAGTCATAATCTTTATATGGAATAAAATGAAAGTTTAAGTAGAGGTAAGTGCCCTACTATGAGATAGGCTCCTAATATGAGATACCGGAGTTTCCGCTAAATTATGTGGCATCATCTGTTGGTTCCACCACGAATTTGTTGCCCTTGGAGTGAAATCTGTTTAGTGAGAAATTGATTATTAGATCGTATAGTCGTGGCGAAAAAAGATTTGTGATTGAATGTGGACGTTGAAAACCTGCTATATTTCATATTAGAATCCTATCTCATAATAGAGGACTTTCCTTTATTACAAGACAAAGTACACGATCAACTTATTTAAATAGAAGTAAATTATAGATATCCCGCGATATATTATGTTTCTTATTCCTAATTCATTTGAGATTATCCTGGCTTACGTTCTGCCAAGTTGCAAAAGAAGACTGCATGGAAGGAACCTCGTGGTGTGATATAATATATTAAATTGGTTTGGGGCGAATATCGCCCGTTTAGATCTTCGCAGTGGCTTAGACCTTCGAAGACTGGCTCTAATAGGGGCGGTTTTGCCTTTATGCTCGCTCTTAATGTCGGTTGTAATCTCGCTTGTACAATCGTTCGTTTTATGTACTTAGCGAGCGCTTAATTGTACTAATGTAGTTTTTACGATAGTGCTCCGTCAGGAGGTTACCGTGTTTTGCGACCCGATAACCAATTTTCGCGACTGAGAGGAGAAAATGTATCTTGAAAGGGTGCCTCTGCGTACGGTATTAAACAGCCGGGTATACAATTGAACTCGACCGAGAGAGGCGGGTGACGTTGCTGCGGACGTTGTTAGAACGAATTTTGTCATTGGTCCGGAGAGAACCGGAGGAGTCTAAGCGAATAACTTCGCTTTGCAATTTTTCGGGCCATCTGCGCGACGGTTGTCTTGTAATAAACATTGCACGAGGGGGCCGTCAACTTTTTCTTCGCCTTTCCAGCCCGACGTAAAATTTTTACCAAAGCGAGATCCGTCCAATATTAATGTATCGACATTGATTTCATTTGTCTTTCCCCGCATCTTTAATTCATCCGCCAGACTCGACCTGGCAGCGACCGTCGTGAATAAACAACCCCGGTGTCATTTACCGTCCGCATCTCGCGTTCCGCGACGCAGGGTCCTTTAAATGGATCACCCTCTATGTATTAACGTATGTACGCACGGCGTCGGGGCTCGTCAGCGACCTGACGACCCGGTCGACGATGCCTGGCTTGGTAAATCTTGCGGCGGGCCGCGGCCGGCGCATCTCGCACCGGAAATCTCGAAAGGCCACAGACCGAGGCGAGCACGACCACGTCTGCGGTCGATACTCCTGAAGCACTTTCGGAAGGTGATACTCGAAATTTGCCATGACTACCGCTCGGCGGCAGCCCGGAAACCGATATTCACGTAGATCTCTCCAACTCGTGCCTCGTCGCTGATTTCGTCGATGCGCTCTCGGCCCTTCGAATCCCCAATTTCGCAGTTCGGAAGTGGAATGAGCGACGAAGCAGGAGTGTACCAAACATACAGAAAGCTGACCGTCGACGCAGCCTTACAAAAAGTTTGACGAATTAAAAACCCCCCTCTCCCTCTTTCTTTCTTTTCTGAGCTCTCTTTATTGAACTAAATGAAATGTCAAGTCTAACGATTAGAATTAAAAGATTAGAGGATTAAAACGTCGTTTCTGCGGATTCACGTAAAATTGTGGTATCAATCGCGGACCAGGGTGGACGTCCAGGTCCCCCGAAACCGCGCGCGACGTCATAACCCGGATTTGCGGATCAGCCGGAGATGGATCTGGTCTAGTTAACCAGCTTGCTGATTCTCGTTTCAGGGGATGGCAACGTAACGTAGCAACGGACTACTAGCCGGCACGAGATGAACACGAACGGCAACGCGGTCGGGCAGGAAGGTGGTGCCGGTACCGATTATGGGAGTAACGAGGAGACGGCGGCTTTGCTGGGCAGGCCGCCGCCGCCGCCGGTCGTGGTGGCCGCGGCGTCTCAGGGCAAGCCGGTGCTCACGCGGCAGGATCGGGCGACTTTCCTGGTCGCCTCGCCGCAACTGTCCGTGTCCGGGCTCGGCGGCTCCGAGGAGAGCGGCACCAACGAGGACCCGGCTACCAGATCGGTACCGGACATCGAGCTTCACTGCCGGCTGGACGGCGAGCCGCAGCTACTGCCGCCGCCGCAGATTCAGCAGCAGCAGCAGCAGCAGCAGCAACAGCAGCAACAGCCGCAGCAGCAACAGCAGCCGCAGCCGCAGCCGCAGCTCCAGCAGCCGCAGGTGCAGCAGTCGCAGTTGCAGGCGCAGCCGACATCCTACCGGTCGTCCAGGCAGTCGCATCAGTACAGATGCAGGTGCGACCGAAGGGATTCCCTTGCGCCCACCTCGGCCCTTCACTTGGCCCGCAGCGTCTCCAGGTGAGTCTCATGAGAATAGCAGAATTAACGACGACCGCGTGAGAAACGCTGCGTGGTAAATCACTCCCGCTTTGTTATAAACATGAAAATTCAGGAAAAGCGAGATACGATACGGCACTCTATGTTCGGATCCTCGACCCTTTTTTCCCCCCATCGTTACACGATGCAAAACGTACCGTGGCCTTCACCGCACAAGGGAACATTCGATACGACCTCCCTTTCTTTTTTATTTAATAGAAGTGATATAGATATATGGAAATAGTCGTTTCGTGTGCTGCTCATATATAATATATCAGTGGCATTTATTTTTCACGAGCCAACCGCTGTACCGCGCGGCTTCGCATGTTTGTTAATACGCTTGCGTGGGAAAAGCATAGCTGTTTAGCCAGAAATGCGAAACGGGCGTATAGTTTTACACATCCGCGTGGCTGGTAAAAGTAAGTAGATTTTGGATCACGTGTACAAAAGACCATCGAGAAAACCCTTCCGAAACCGGGAGCGGCTCGCATATTCGTAACTTTCCAAAGAGCCGTTAAGTTTATTATTAAACGAACGGAGCGAAATGAAAAAAGCTTGAACTTTACCCGAGTGAATGACGACCGTGGGCTCGCTCGCGCGTGTGTCGCGGCATTATGCGCGTAAACTCGACCGTTTTGTTACGCGGCATTACTTACATTTGCATCGCATGACAAGCGCTAATCTATGAGAACTTAGCACGTGTCGAAAGAAGGAAACGACAGTCGTGCGGCTTTAAAACACGCATAGAAAGTTTCGACTCGCGTAATTGGCAAAGTTTAACTACTTCGCGGGCATTAGTCCGGCCGGGCCGTCGTAAGCTCGCGTTCGTACGTAACAGAATCGGAGCAGACAGTTCCGGGCGGTTCTCGATAGGAAAACGAGGCAAGAATACGTTTCCCACGTATTTCCCGATATTGCTTATGATTTCGTTATGCCATTCTTCGTATTATTTATTCACCGGACGATATACCACCGGGACGATGATGTCCCAGGTGCGGCACATGCATGGAAAATTTCCGATATTCATTATTGCGCGTCCAGTCGCGCAGACGTATCCGCGCACTGCAATTTCGAAATTACATGAAAATACCGCGTCAAAAGGAAGCTCCTTGATGCCCGCGATCTCGGCTCCCTCGTCAATTTTCCTCGCGCGAAATGGACAGCTGAAATCAAAGCAGTCCGTATTTACCGTGGATTTTTATCTAGGCCGCGAGAAGACGAGAATCTATTTCGCGAATCGGCCACTCTTATCTAAGTGCGCCCGGCAATTCGCCGGGAATCGCCATCCTCCCAGAAATGCGTCGCACTTGGAAAAATGCGACGCCTTTGTTTCCTTGAACGAGGATCGTCCAGGCAGAAGAGGCTCTCTCTTTCCCTCTTGGCGCCGGTCCGGGGAATTCCTGACGCTCGCTGCCACCGCGAGTTTCTAGGACGATCTCGTTCACCGGGTCAAAAGTTGAGCCGCAGAATTTTATGCCGTCCTGCATCCCCTTCGGAGACCGGGAAACGTACACCCGGGGATTGCCCGTAGGAGGATATAAAAAAATGGCATTGCCAGGAATTCTCGACGTGAAAATCGCGTCGTTGACCTTTCTCGAATCTTGTCGTTTTACGTTGACCTTTCCCGCCACCGCATTCATGGCTGTTGGCTGCTTAGTTAAATTCATCATGAATATTACGTTTATTCTCATTGAAATTTTTATCAGACTCCGCGTTCACGTGTTGAATTAAAAACGCAATTCGTGTGCGGTAGAACTTGGAAAGATGATATACAGAACGTAGGTTTCAATTAAAAAAATACAGCTTAATGCATCGACAGTTACGTTCTCGTATAAGATTGAAAAGATTGCGATAAAGTTTTACAAAACGGTCTGGTACAAGAATAGCAAGAACTTAGATTTACTTCAAGTTTATTTTGCGTTCAGGTACCCACTTAAGGTTCGCTCTGCAACAAGTTTAACAAAGAGAATCGACGAACCGTTCTGCGAGATTTCGTATCGGCGCGCGAGATACGTAACAGATCGCAAGATCGAATGGCAATCGCATTTCGGCAGCTCGCCGTTGAACGCGGTATCGCGTTCATTTATCAAGAAAGTTATGCTTTTGTAAACACGTCCTTTATGACTGTGACATAAAATAAGTATATCGGGAGTCATGAATAAAAGATCCATTGTTATCCTAAGAAGCCACTCAGAAGCCGGGGAACTTCAGTTTTAACCGAAGGTCGTAGTGCACGCCACAGTTAATGATATCTCCAGACGACAGGCTCGCCACCTGTCTTATAAGCCGAGGGCTCTTGACTTAAGGCGCCTTTAGACAAAGAGCTACGCCGAACATATTCCCACCGACAAAATCGAATTAGGCGTCCAACCTGAGGGTTCCCCGTAATCTCGCGCGATAATTTCGTTGGCAATTTCGTCCTCGTATATTTGGGATATCCTAGAAATATCGCATCCCTTCAGGGGATGCTGGAGTGACTCTGCACCTTTTGCACCTCTTTCTCTTAGAACTGTCGATTCAAGAAAACATTTGTGTAATGTACAAATTATGCGACTTATATGTACAGACCGACAGTGTCTTACTATTCGGACTAAACCAGAGAAGAGCATAGTGTCGTCGAAATTAAGTTTAAAAGCCTGACAAGAAGTATATTCACTTCAATAAGTTGTAGGTTAGGTAACCTATAACTTTTATTCGAGTGAATAGATTTCTCTTTAGGCTTCTAAACATAATTTCAATGATGCTATGCTGTTCTCTGATTTAGTCCGAATAGTGGAACACCGTCGGTCTATACACAAGTCACATAATTTGTATATTACACAATTGTTTCCTTAAATTGACAGTTCTAAGAGTAAAAGGTGCAAAAAGTGCAGAATCCCCCTTAAGGGGCTGCTCGAGTGATTCTGTACTTTTTTGCATCTTTTGCATCCAGAACTGTCAATTCATGAAAACATCTGTATAATGTACAAATTATGTGGGTTTTGTTTGTCCGAATAAGTTATAGGTTCCGATTTAGTCCAATTAATGGAACACTGTCGGTCTGTACACAAAAGCCACATATTACACAAATGTTTTCATGAATCGAGAGGAGCAAAAGGTGGAAAAAGTGCAGAATCTCACTCCAGCATCACCTTAAACATTTTTCTTTAAATTGACATTCTCCTAAAATGTAATGGAAAAAATTGAAATTACACAACATCAGGATTAAATGTATTAAAAAATGAAGTAACTAACTGCAAATGCAATAAACAAAATTAATTGAAGCTTTATTAGTTATCTGCTGGAATACGAAGAATTAATCCGCAATTTTAATTCCGAACAGTTGCCGGGAAACTCGTAATTTCGGTTACAATATGGAAATTATTCGATACCTTGTTGAAATAATTATTATTCCTCGCGTCTGTAGCCGAAAGAGACCTTTGAGACACCAATTGCACGCGACCAATTTAGCGGTGAAGCAGTTTTCAGTGAAATTAGTCCACGGGCGAGTGGGCCATGTGCAATATCGGATCACGTATTTGAGACTATCAGTTTGACTTTATAGTCCACGCCAGCCGTGAAACTATACCAACCGTACAATTTTCAGACGCTATAAACGACACGAGAGCAACCGTGACAGCGGTATTATATTTTAGAATCACGTTTCCCTCTCGCTTTTCTCCCTATTTAATATTCTTTTATAATGTCAGCTTGATATTAATCACGTCGGGGTAAACGTGGCTAGATATTAACTTACGGCTCAATATTAATGTACGGCTCCAAAATAAAAGTCGAGAAAACAGGAAATGGGAGCAGCGCGATATTGAAGCTCGTTACGGAAGTTAACTTCATTTTTCGTCTACCGGCAGACGGGAATAAAGTGAACAATCAGAAATTAGCGAAGTTTTCCAACAGCGGAAACCCAAGCGATCAGTTTTTAACATTAACTCTTTGAAGGGTGGATAAACTTGTCCATGATACAAGTTACTTTTCTCTCTCTCTTTCTATTAGACACCTATATACACTTTTTCGAACGTACATTTTTTCCCGAGACGACATTTTCGAATATTGGCAGCATTTCGTCGATCGCCAGTGGAGTTTTTCTTCGGAAATCGTTCCGACCGGATCGTTAATCCTCAAAGAGTTAAGCGTCTTCGTAAACGAGTCAAGTAATACTCCCGACTGAAGCGCTCGCTTGGGATTTCGCAAAGAGGGAAAAATCGAGTTTCAGACGTTGAGATCTGTGCGCATACGTATGCATGTGTGTGTGTGTGTGCGTGTGTGTGGGGATGTGTGCATAAAGCCACGTGTGATGTTTTCTGTTTCCAAAGAGAGAGCGTGAAGAGCGGCCACCACTGCTGCCCGTGTCAGGCGCCGCCGCCGCCGGTGTTGGTCACCACGTCGCCCAACGCCCGCATAATACGGCAGAGCTCGCAGCCGGAAGCGTCCGCGTGTTGTTGCTCCGGCTGTTGCTGCCCGCTGCACACCGGCGCGGCACCGAGCGCCGCCTCGCTGCGGCAGCTCCGCGAGCCCGGCGACGGGATCGCCGGCATCGCCGCGGACTCGCTGCGGATCAATGGCGGCATACGACAGTTCCGGCAGGTAAGCCGCGACCTCATCGTCTCGCCGTCTTTCGCGAGTCTGACGCACAACCCCGACCGCCCATGATGCAAGAATACCGCAACGGCCGACACGTCCGTTGAAATCGAGACCGGATTCTATTTACCTTCTCGAGAAACGAAAAGGAAAACAAATTCATTGGCTCTATTCGAGGGTGTTCTTTGATAAGGGAAAGTTCCCCCATTATGAGATAGGCTCGTAATATGAGATAGCGGAGTTTCCGCTAAATTAATAGGCATCGTCTGTTGGTTCCACCGTGAATTTATTGCCCTTGGAGTGCAAACTGTTCGGCGGAAAATTGATTTGATAGCGAAAAAAGATTTGATTGAATTTGGACATTTAAAACCTACTCTCTCATATCAGACTCCTATCTCATGACAGAGGACTTTCCTCTAAATCTTTTGAATAGCTCGATTACTCAAATTCCATTGGGTTGTACACTTTGAAAAATGAAGAAATTAGTTTTGTATTCCAGGCCAGTTTTTGGGAAAGTGGTAACTTGGAGCAAAGATTTGGATAAAAGTTGAGTCAGTTAGTTACGGAATATTAATGCAATCATCTGCACTGAGTATCAAGTCTAGATCGATAAAACTCGCGAAACTTGATGGTCAATTGATTACTTTAATTAATGACGATCCTTTGATCATTTCTGTTCCGTGGCAAATACTATTATCAATAGGTACAATTTTCGACAAGCATTTCAAGTGGTGAATAATATAACAGGGCAAACGTGTGCCTGTGCGGAATAAATATACAATTACGTGAATTATTAAGGCAAAACAGAGCCACAAGCGAGAGAAATTTACATATCGCGACAGGGCATAACGGATCCCTCGCAATTTGAAATTCGCGTTTGAATTCGGAAGCAGATGGCTGATTTATCATGTCGCCGTAACGCGCAGTGCTGCAGTTTGGTATTCTTACATCGTGGACGGCGTCACCTGTGCCCGGCACAGCACCGCCGAATCCTCCCACACGTGTCTCCATTTGTCCATCTCTCTCTCTCTCTCATTCTGTTTCTCTTTTTCTCGTGTGTGCCATTTGTTTTCACTCGCTCTGCGGAGTTAGTTCTGCGAAGGAGGGGAAGGAGAAAGGGTTGTGCTTAATTGGCAAACGATTTTATCGAATGGAAGCCGGGGCGAACCGCGAGGGAGTATCTCCCTGTTGTTCGGTCGCTCATCCGGAGGTAAATTAGAAGCGACATCCAATAGAAACACCCTAACGATCTCCTCTCGGAGGTTCTATATTTTTTCGATTTTTTTTTAACGTTGTTCCTTTTCTCCCGGTGGATCTTTAGATTTCCTTCGGATTTCTCTCGGCTTTGTTGAACACCAGAGGAGACAATGCAAAGACCACGCAAAGCCGGAGAGAAAATTCGAACAACTTTTTAACTCGGGAGAAACCGTCAGGTAACAATACGACAAAAGAGTACAATTTGCGCGCAAAAGTGATGATTAGCATGCGACAAGGATCTCGAGCGCTCTTTCTCCTCCCCTCTCGCTCTCGCAGCTTGTCCTCCGTCGCTCTTCATGGTTCTCTCCCCCACGCATGCATCTCCTCTGCGTGTTCTCGTCTCCTCTGGTGTATCATTGTTTTACTGTCAAGTTGCTCAACTCCTTTATTGGTGTTTCCACACTCGTTACATTCCTATTCGTACGTTCATGGCTGTGTTCGTGGTGTCGTTTATATGTCGAATGTGTCTTGTAACATTTCGCTTCTCTTTTATCGTTCGTTCGAACTCATCCCGGTCTCCCTGCGGGAGACAGATCTCTTTTCCTCTTCGTTCTCCAGCGCGTCCCACCCCCTCGTTCACGTCTCCCCCTGTCGTTGGGTTTTACCGGCGTAGGCCCGGCGGAATCGTAAAAGCGCGCGGCGCGCTGAGGGAAGATACGCGGTGCTTCAAAGCAGGTTTTTGTTGTGGGCTCAAAATATAGCGTATTTTACGAGATAGCGAATTTGCGTTGCTTCCGTCATAAAAAGAGACCCGTAGCGGCTTTTTCCATTCTGAGCTCGTCGTTATCCGTTGGAGGCTTGACGACTTGTCACGGCATGCGGCAAGGGTTGTTTGTCGAGGTTTCGTTTTGATTCATTAGGTCGCTTTTTTTTATAAGTTCCCACGTGCGGTCGCTGTTGTATCGTTTCGCAGCGGATTTCAGTCTTCGTCCGAAGACCCAGATGGATGCGCAAAATTGTTAATTCACGGATCTCTGGATTCGAGAGTCAGGAGAATTTTGTTTAAAAGCTTGTAGAGATTCGTAGATTTGACAATTCAGCGATTTGGAGAGTTAAATTATTGAAGGGTTCGCTGAACTTTACAAATCCTGACTTTCATTATATTTGGCGTGACAGAAATACGTCAGTCTCGCGAACATATTCGTAAAGAGGAGCGAAAATTTAGGGACTCAGGGAAGCAAGGATTTTGAGACTCGGACGAGGTAGGGAGGTCCTTTAATAGTGCGTACACACTCAGGATTTTTGCACCTAGATATCTCTCGATGTACGGTTAACGCGACGAGTTAAATACTTGCCACCGAAGATACAAAGTCCACAAAGTGACCCCTTATCGATGGAACTCGCCTTCCGCCATCTGGCGGAGGGTGGAAATAGCGGAGTGGTGAACTACCCTTAAATGGTCACATAATACCGGCGGAGAACACAGCCGTCGCGTTTGCTCGACGTTCGATACGTTGCTTGCCGGATTTTTTGCCCCGTCGTAGAGTCCTCGCGCGATACAGATGGCAGTCGTTGCAAAAACAACCCTCTTGAAGGGATTACCGAGCTTAGTTCGCGGCGCCTTAATCCTTTCTAGACCACGTATTTGCCAAACTTACCCCTAATATTTTTCATTTATTGTAAAAAATTGTCTGACAAAATTATCTGTGCTGACCACAGCAGAGCCTTCTGAATTTTATTAATTTGTTATCTGACAAAGCTTACACAGTTAAGAACTTGTTACTGACGACTCGTGTTCTCTAACGAAAATTTGCCTAGCCGAGCAGCCTTTGGAAAAAAAAATTCTTTTTATGTTTTCGCAATACTTGAACGTTCCGATTTTGCCTGTTAATATTTTCGGTTATTCCCAATATTGCAATGTCAAAGTTGAATCGTATTTGGGAGAAGACAAAATTAGGTATTTCTTGTTTTTTTGACATAATGAGCGTTGTGATTTGCAAATTAATATTTTCGATTACGTTGCAAAGTCGCGAATCATGCAATACTTGAACGTTTCGATTTTGCGTGTTAATAATTTCGGTTA